CCAGGTGATATATGGAAGTGTTGGATCACCATTTTGTACACCTGAAACTAATATTACACTGTATGTTAACTAACTGGAATTTAAATAAAAACTTAATCTTTTTCTTATTCTCATAGTTTTATTTTTTTTTTAAGATTTTATTCATTTGAGAGAGAAAAAGAGAGAGAAAGCACAAGGTGGGAGAGGGGCAGGCGGAAAGGGAGAAGCAGACTCCCCACTGAGCATGGAGCCCAACATGGGGCTCGATCCCAGGACCCTGAGATCATGACCTGAGCCAAAGTCAGACACTTAACTGACTGACCCACCCAGGCACCTCTCATTCTCATTGTTTTAAACAATTTGAGTATCATGTATCTTGGTATAGTTTTCTTCATGTTTCTGGTACTTGAGCATCTTAGATATGTGGATTTATAGTTTTCATCAAATTTGGAAATTTGTCAGCCATTATTTCTTCAAATATTTTTTTCCATCTCCATTTCTCTCTTCTCTCCTTGGAAATTCCAATCACACCTTCTCCACCCCACCCCCCACACTGAGCTTTATTGAGATATAATTGACATATAACATTGTATAGGTCTAAGGCATACAACATAATCATCTGAAATACGTTTATAATGCAAAATGATTGCCACAGTAAGGTTAATACAACCATCAACACAGTTACCTTCTCATGTGTGTGTGCGTGTGTACAATGAAAACTTTTATTTTACTACTTTTTAAAGTAATCTCTACACCCAACATGGGGCTCAAACTCATGACCCTGAGATTAAGAGTCATGCTCTACTGAACCAGCCAGGCACCCCCGATGAGCACTTTTAAAGTATACTCTTTTAACAACTTTCAAATATACAATACACTATTGTTAACTATAGTCACCATGCTATACACTAGACCCCCAGAATTTACTCATCTTATAACTGGATGTCTGTACTCTTTGACCACCTTCAACTGTTTCTTCCATACTCTTGCTTCAGGCAACCACCAAACTACCCTCTGTTTCTGAGTTCAGTTTTTTTTTAGATTCCAAATATAAATGAGATCATACAGTATTTGTCTTTCTCTGTCTGACTTATTTCACTTAGCTTGTAGCAAATGGCAGGATTTTCTTCTTTTTTTTAGGTGAATAGCATTCCACTGTATATATTTCCATACATATTTTTTTATTCACTCATCTGTTGATGGACACTTAGGCTGTTTCCATAGCTTTTCTACTGTGAATAATGCTGCAAGGAACATGGAGCTAGAGATAATCTCTTCAAGATAGTCCAATCACAGGTATAGTAGGCCACTTGAAATTGTCCCACAACGGGGCGCCTGGGTGGCTCAGTTGGTTAAGCGACTGCCTTCGGCTCAGGTCATGATCCTGGGGTCCCTGGATCGAGTCCCGCATCGGGCTCCCTGCTCTGCAGGGAGTCTGCTTCTCCCTCTGACCCTCCCCGCTCTCATGCTCTCTCTCTCTCAAATAAATAAATAAAATAATTTTTTTAACGTCTTTTTTTTTTTTAAGATTTTATTTATTTATTTGAGAGAGAGAGAGAGCACATGAGAGGGGGAGGGCCAGAGGGAGAAGCAGACTCCCTGCAGAGCAGGGAGCCCGATGCGGGACTCGATCCAGGGACCCCAGGATCATGACCTGAGCCGAAGGCAGTCGCTTAACCAACTGAGCCACCCAGGCGCCCAATAAATAAATAAAATCTTTAAATAAAAAATTAAAAAAAAAGAAATTGTCCCACAACTCACTATTACTCTATTCACTTTTTATGTTTCTTTTTTTTTTTTAATCTGTTTTAGGTAGCTTCTATTACTATGTCTTCAAGTCCATTAATCTTTTCTTCTGCAATGTTTAAAATGCCATTAATTTTATCCAGAATATTTTCTATCTCATATACTGTAGTCTTAATCTTCACAAGTTTAATGTTGTCCTCTTATATATCTTCCACATCTATACTTAGTTTTTTGAACATATGGAATACAGTTATGATAACTGTTTTCATAGCCCAATGCTAACATCTGGGTCAGTTCTGGATTGGTTTTGATTGATTTATTTATCTCATTACAGGCTATATTTTCTCCCATCCTTGCATCTGATTTTTTATTAAAATCAAGACATTGTGATTTTGATATTGTTGGATGCTGGATATTTCTGTATTCCTGTAAGTATTCTTGAGCTTTGCTTATATGCAGTAAAGTTACTTACAGTTTGACTTTTTAAAGGTCGTGCTTTTAAGATTTGTTAAACAGGAATGCCATTATGTTCAGGCTAGGGCTAAATATCCCCCACTACTGAGTAAAAGTTCTTCCGTTTACTCTACCTAATGCCCAATGAATTATGAGGCTTTTCCTAGCATGGTTGCTGGGAACAGACACTACTACTGGCCCTATGTGAGTGTCTGACACTGTAACCTCTAATTTTTTCATATGGTTCTTTTCCCAGCAGCAAGTAGTTTCCTCACATACATGCACTAATCAATACTCAACTATGTACTTGAGGGGAAACTTTTATGGATCTCTGGAGTTATCTCTGCAATTCTCTTCTCTCTCTACACTGCCTTGTGAATTCTGGTGACCTTGGTCTTCCCAGAATTTCACCTTCATCTCATCAACTCAAGAAGTCTACTAGGCTCTGCTTGGGTTCTTGCTCCCTATACTACAGCCTGAAAACTCTCCAAGGCAATAAGCTGGCACAGTCCTAGAGCTCACCTTATATACTTTCCATTTATTTCAGATATCACTGCCCTCACTGCCTGATATTCAATGATCTTTTCCATTATTTCATATAATTTGTCTATTACTTGGTTGTTTCAAGTGGGAGAATAAATCTGATCTCTGTCCTCCAACTTGGTCAGGGCATAAGTCCTAATACTACATATTTTGATTGAGTAAAACTTATGATTTCAAAAACACAGCATTTCCATTTTGACTGATAGAAGAGCAATTTCATATGCTTCAATCTAATATTATGCTCTTTTCAAAGAATGTGAGATATTTTTATTAAATATATCAAATAGCCCTACCTAAAAATGAAATGAGATTCATTTGAAGTGCCTTATTCATGGTGACTCTGTTTAAGACTTGTCTTTATTTTCAAATTGCTCACAAACCATCACAAACTCCTTACAAAACATTTTATTGCCACCATCGCTCATTTAATTTGAACCCATTGTTCTATTTGCTGCAGTCACAAATTTTATCTCATGGAATAGTCAAGATCTCAATCTAAATACATAAGTATCAATCATTCCCTACATAAAAATTTCCTTCTATCCAGTTATATTCATCATTTAATACCACTTCTTGAGACAAAGTTTCTCTGCACAAAGAATCGGGCCACAGTCTCAACAGCTAGGCAGAAAGAAATAGCATCTCATATATCAGGATACCAACTTCTAATTATCTATGTGTCACAAATGAGACATCTATTTGAAATGAAAAAGTAAATTCACTTAAAATGCTTATAATTAGGGATTAAAAAATTAGGAAACAGAAAATTAAGATAAAGAGAAGTTTGTCAATCAATCCAGAGTGGCATCCTTTGCCTGCCCAGTCTTCTTATTACAATTAATCTGCACATACCCAATCTTATCCCAAGAGGGGGGCATGTGATCTCTTTTTGGGTACTCCTATGCAAAAAAATTCCATTTTCTTAAAACATGGTAGGCAATTTTATTAAGTAGGTTTAAATATGGTTCCAATCCATGTCACTACAAGCCAAGAACCACATTTAAATTTGAAACCTATTATTTAAAATTTTAGAAGCCTCATTCAGAATTCATGACTCAGTGAAGGAAAGAAAGGAGGAAAAAAGCAATGAGGTATTTCCACATGTATACATTTACTGAGACCGCCATATATGTGAACATGTTTATCTAAACTGCTATATATGTACAAAAAAACCTCAGAACACAGGAAGAAACTTGGTGAATGGGGGTTGAGATAGGTGGAAGCTCATCATTGTACACCTTTTTATACCTTTTGAATTTTGAACCATGAGAATATAATTACCTATTCAAAAAAATTTAAATAAGTAATTAAAACAGATGAAGAAATTGGCCTAAACCACAATTAGAAATAAATTGTCATCATAAATGACTCCTAGTATATCTATTTTGCCTCTTTTATATTCACATATAGATTATAATCTTAAGAATAAAGACGGTGCTTCCCAAAATTTCTTAATAGGAATCATCTGAGTTGTTAAAACAGACTTTGGGGTCCAATCTAGACCTACTGAATTAAACTTTCCCAGGAAGACATAATCTGCACAAAAAGTGGCCCCAAGTGATTTTTACCAAAAGTCAGAGACCCTGTTAACTAAGGAATAAAATTCATTTCTGGAAAGAGCAACAACTTTGTAATTAGACAGCTCTGGATTTATCTTTTGGCTCTTCCATTTACCTGTGTGATCCTGGATAAGTTACCTGGCCTTTTTGTACCTCAGTTTCCTTATCTATAAAATGGAGAAATAATACTACTAGGGTTGTTATAAAGATTGATCTATGCAAAGGGTATGGTACATAATCTTTCTCTAATGCTTAATTTTACCTTGCTTCCTTAAAAAAAAAGAAAGAAAGAAAAAAGAAGAAGATGTCTGACATACAGATAGCCAATAAGTATCAGCTTCCTTTCCTCCCACATCCAAATTATACAGGTGTTCATATATATGTCACTCAAACAATACTGTTAAATGCTGCTGAAGCAGTATTTATTAATCATTAATCTTCTCAAAGACACATAATTTTCTTAGTCATGAAACTAAGAACCATTCTAGCAAAAAGCATTTAACTAGCTCAGTTTAGTTGGCTTATTACTGACAAGTTTGACACATATCACTCACTTTTTAAAGAATACTTCCATCCTACCTAAAAAAAAAGTTACTTTACACACTTTAACAAAATGAATAAAAAATACAATGTTGTCTTGTCTATTATTTTTTCCTAATCCAAATTATAGCATCCCTAAAATAATTTCTCTCTCTTAAAAAAATCCTCTAATAGTTGTACCTCTGTTATGTTTCTCTCTCGTAATGAAGCCAACTCATACGGATCCACAAAAAGTCCTGTCGGGATGTACTGTTTAATTAAGAGTCGGCAGGTCCGTAAGTCCTCAATGCTTTCTCCAAATTTCACTTTTATTAAAAGGTCTCTGTAAGACAAGTATGTTTAAAATATATCTCTTCATTCAATTATTAAATGACATAGCATAACATTATATTCAAGTTGGTGGAAACACTGTATTTCAAATTCAAACTCAAAATCTATTTTTCAAAACATTATAAAGTCAAATGAAGTATTTATATCATGTCAGAACCACTCATTAGATCTTTCATAAATTCTTGTCAAGAGCCACATTATAGTATTAGTATGAAAACAGACAACGATCAATGGAAAGAAATATAGTCCAAAAATGGACACACATATATTTATATGGCAATAAAGGTGCCAACATGATTTGATGGGGAAAGGAGAGTCTTTTCACCAAATGGTACTGAAACAAATAGATATCTATATAGAAAAAAATGAACCTTGACATCAACCTCATACCATATACAAATATTAATTTGAAATAGAAGGGTGCCTGGGTGACTCAGTCAGTTAAGCGTCTGCCTTCGGCTCAGGTCGATTGAGCCCCACATCGGGATCCTTGCTCAGCGGGGAGCCTGTTTCTCCCCTGTCTACCGTTCTCCCTGCTTGTGCTTGCTCTCTCCCTCTCTGTGTCAAATAAATAAATAAAATCTTAAAAAAAAATAATTTGAAATAGATTATAAACCTAAATGTATAACTGTCCCAGCTTTCTGTCTGAAGGCACATTTGGGACCAAATGCAGGGAAGGAAATCCAAAGTACAACATGGTGGTTTTGCTTAAATTATAAAACAGAGACAGAATTTAAGAGAGACTGAAGTGGCTGGAAGTCAAGGTGCTAAATTCTAGAGAGGAGGGAACTATGTAGAAAGAGTTCTATAAATCTGAATGGGACTCCCCTTGAGATTTTGTTGAATACTAAGAAAAGCATGAGTAACGTTTAACTCCAAAAGACTGGGCAAAGAACGACCAGGGAACTGAAAAATGAGAAATTCTAAAATTTCACACACAGTTGGGAGATATTTGCATTTCAACCAACCAGAGATCACAGCTTTTGGTAGAGATACCAATAGAGTAAGGCCTTAGCAGCTAAATTAGCCTTGCAGTAAAGGCCACTTTAATTTTAGACCTATATAAAAAAAAAGGTTAAAAGGATCAAGCTCATAAACAAGTAACTTAATTGCTAACAGAAAAAATAAGACAAACACACTCAAAAACGCTCATATCTACAACATTCACTTTGTTCAGTATCCCATCAAAAGTCTCTAAACATGTGGGTGCCTGGGTGGCTCAGTCAGTTGGGCATCCGACTCTTGGCTTTGCCTCGGGTCATGATCTTGGAGTCCTGAGACTAAGCCCTAAGTTGAGCTCCACCCTCAGCACAGAGTCTACTTGGGATCTTCTCTCTCCTCCCCCCTCAAGGGCACTCTCTCTCGCTCTCTCTAAAATAAATAAATAGGGGCTCCTGGGTGCCTCAGTCAGTTAAGCATCTGCCTTCGGCTCAGGTCATGATCCCAGGGTCCTGGGATTGAGCCCTGAGTCAGGCTCCCTGCTTAGTGGGGAGTCTGCTTCTGCCTCTGCCTCACCCCTTCACTTGTGCTCTCTCTGGCTCTCTCACTCTCTCTCAAATAAATAAAATCTTAAAAAAAAAATAAAATCGTTAAAAAAAAGTCACTAAAGATGCAAAAGAGCAGGGAAATGTGACCAATAACCAAGAAAGAAATCATTCAATAGAAAGAAATGACAGAATTGACAAAACTAGCAAAGGACGTTAAAAGTCTTCTTAAATATGCCCAACATGTCAAAGGTTTAAAGAAAAAAATGAACACTGTGAAGGAAAGAGAAGAGATTTTATATATATATATGAAGAACTAAATGCAACTTCGAGATGAAAAGCAATTTCAAAATAAAAAAAAAACTATCCAGACATGAGTAAAAGCATTTAGACACTGCAAAGAAAAGATCAGTGACTTGGAGACAAAGCAACAGAAACTATCCAAACTGAAGAATAGAGAAAAAAAATTGGGGGAAAAAAAAAGAAACAGTTTCAGTGACTGTAAACAATATCAAGTGGTCTAATATATATATCTAGTTTGAGTCCTAGAAATAGAGAAGAGAATGTAATAGAAAAAATATTTTAAGACATAATGGCTGAAAATTTTCTGAATTTCATGAAAACTATAAGCCCATAAATCCAAGAAACTCAACAAATCCCAAGCAGGATAAACACAAAGAAAACCACACCAAGGGGTGCCTGGGTGGCTCAGTTGGTTAAGCGACAGCCTTTGGCTCAGGTCATGATCCTGGAGTCCCAGGATCGAGTCCCGCATTGGGCTCCCTGCGGGGGTCTGCTTCTCAGCAGGGAGTCTGCTTCTCCCTCTAACCCTCCTCCCTCTCATGCTCTCTGTCTCTCATTCTCTCTCTCAGATAAATAAATAAAATCTTTAAAAAAAAAAAAAGGAAAAAAAACCACACCAAGATATACTATCATCCAGTCACTGGAAAAAAAAATCTTAAAAGCCATCAGAGGAAAAAGAAACATTATAGAGAATAAAAAAGAATAAGCCAGAGAACAATGGGACAAAGCATTTAAAGTATTAACCGAGAAAAGGCTACCAATATAGAATTATATATCCAAAAGGAAAAGCCTTCAAAAATAAAGGCAAAATAAAAACTAAAACAAATATGAACTAAGAGAATTTGTCACTGCAAGAAATGATAAAGGAAATTCTTCAGGCAGAAAGATAACATGTGGAAAGAGGGATCTACAAGAAAGAAGAGCAAATGGTAAGTATGTGAGTGAATATAAGAACTTTTTTTCTTATTTTTTATTGCTTTAAAATGTGACTGATAGAGAAATTGGAACCCCGTGCATTGTTGCTGGAAATGTAAACTGGTGCAGCCTCTAAGGAAAACAGGATGATGATTCCACAAAAAATTAACATGGATGAATCTTGAGCACATTATGCTAAGTGAAATAAGTCAGTGACAAATACTGTGTGATTCTGCTTATAAGAGGTACTGAGGGGCGCCTGGGTGGCTCAGTCATTAAGTGTCTGCCTTCAGCTTGGGTCATGATCCCAGGGTCCTGGGATCGAGCCCCACATCGGGCTCCCTGCTCTGCGGGAAGCCTGCTTCTCCCTCTCCCACTCCCCCTGCTTGTGTTCCCTCTCTCACTGTGTCTCTCTCTGCCAAATAAATAAAATCTTAAAAAAAAAAAAAAAAGGTATTGAGAGTAGTCAAATTCAGAGAGACAGAAAGTGAAACGCTTGTTGCCAGGGGCTGGAAGGGGAGAATGGGGGGCTGTTTAATAGGTAGAGTTTCAATTTTGCAAGATGAAAAGAGTTCTGTGGATGGATGGTGGTGATGGTAACACAATAAAGTGAATGTCCTGAATGCCACCCAAGTGTACAATTAAAAATGGTTAAGATGGGGGATGCCTGACTGGCTCAGTTGGTAGAACATGTATGTAACTCTTGATCTCAGGGTCATGAGTTCAAGCCCCACATTGGATGTGAAGCCTACTTAAAATTTTTTTAAAAATGTTAAGTGTTGGGGCACCTGGGTGGCTCAGTCGTTAAGCGTCTGCCTTCAGCTCAGGTCATGATCCCGGGGTCCTGGGATCAAGCCCCGCATCGGGCTCCCTGCTCAGCGGGAAGCCTGCTTCTCCCTCTCCCACTCCCCCTGCTTGTGTTCCCTCTCTCGTTGTGTCTCTCTCTGTCAAATAAATAAAATCTTTAAAAAAAAAAATGTTAAGTGTTATGTTATGTGTGCTTTACCACAATTAAATAATAATAAAAAAATACATGACTATTCAAAACAAAAATAATAACAGTAGCGGGGCTTATAAGTAAAATATAAAGTTGATACATGTATGGCAACAAAAGCATAAAAGAGAGGAGAAAGAAATGAACTATTCTAAGATTTATATATTATTCATAGTATGGAATAACACTGGAAGGTAGACTATGATAAGTTAAAATTGCACACTGTAAACCCTGAAGCAACCAACTAAAAAAAGAGAGAGGTATCATTAATAAGCCAAAAACGGAGATAAAGTGGAATGCTTAAAAAATACTCAATTCATCAAAAATAAGGCAAGAAAAGAGAGAAAAGATTAGCTAGGACAAATAGAAAAGCAAACAGAGAGGCGCCTGGGTTGCTCAGTCAGTTGAGTTGACTCCTGATTTCAGCTCAGGGCATGATCTCAGGGTTGTGGGGTAAAGCCCGGAGTCAGGCTCCATGCTGGGTGAGGGGCCTGCTTGAGACTTTCTCTCTCCCTCTCCTTCTACCCTTCCTCCCCCTCTCTAAAAATAGAAAGAAAAGAAAAAAAAGAAAAGCAAATAGAAAAAATGTAGCAAGATGGGTAGATTTAAATCAAACCAACCAAATCAACATTTATATTAAAAGTAAATGGTCTAATCACTCTAATTAGAATGTAGAGATTGACAGACTGGTTAAATAGCAACACTTAATTATATGCTGTCTACAACATACATATTAATAATAAAAATAAGGAGTGGCTACATTAACATAAAAAATGCAGACTTCGGAACAAGGAATATTGTCAGGGATAACAAAGGACATTAAACCAAGATAAAAGGATCAATTAACCAAGAAGATATAACAATCCTAAATGTACTGTGTGCACCTAAAAAACACTGCTTCAAAATATTCATGTATTTTATTTCACAGCAAAAACTGGGAGAACTTCAAGGATAAATAGATAAATCTGCAATTACAGCCAGAGATTTTAATACCCCTCTCTCGATAATGGATAGAATAAGCACAAAAGCAGGAAGGATACAGAAGGCATGAACAACCTTCAATCAAGTTTATCTGACATTTATAGAATGTTCTACCAAACAAAAGCACATTACAGAAGAAAAATTGTAAGCTGGGCAATTAAAAAAATCTCTAGAAGTTTCAAAGGACTGAAATCATGTTAAGTATAGTCTCTAACCACATGGAATTAAGTTAGAAATCAAGAGGAGGAGGAGACACGGCCTTGACCAAAGCCACAGCCTCAGGCTCAGTCTCCTCCTTTGGCTATGCCTGGGATC